CACCACCACCCTGATTTACTTGATTGACCCATCTGCTGAAACTCTGTTCTTCCAATTGTTCTTGGTGTCTCTGCATTTGTTCATAATCCGCATCTATAAAGTAAAATGCATTAAAAAAAATAAAAGTATTAAATCCGTATTGGTTCTTCTCGGGGAACTAACCAACCTTCATCATAAATGACTTCTTCTTCATCGCCACTATCTTTTTGTACATTTTCTGGTTCCTCATTGTCATAATCGTAATCATAATCATCATCAATCTTCGTGCCTGTGATTGAGACTGATAAGTAAACATAATAAAGATCAAATAAAAGATAAAAGAATTATGTACCTCTCATCGAAGAATCCGAAACGTCCAAATCTTTCATTAATTGAGTCACCTGTGTTTGTCTTGCAGTTTCTTGGCGTTTTATCTTCAAGATTATTGAATGAGTAATGTGTCAGCGATTCACACATAAATATAATATATGGAGAAGAAAAAAATGCACCTTTTCCTGAATCAGTTTCTCAAGTTCGGGCTTGTACACGCTAGAGATTTAATTATGATTAACATATGAGGAATAAAAATATTCGTTACACACTTGATGTACACATACCTTTCATATTCCTTAACAGCCTCATCCACCGCTCCAAAAAACTCCTGCATTCCTTCTCCGGTTACTGCTGAAACACCAACAACCTACAAATTTTGGCAGAATCTTCTTGTTAATGGTTTATAAGCAAATGTCAAATTTTTAATTTTGGATTATGACATTACCCTTAAGTGCCGGTAGAACTCTTCAAGCACCAAACACATCGAATTCATGAGATTGCTCATGTAGCTCGTGTCCTTTTGTAATGCCTGCTGAAATGCTTCGAAATCAGTCATCCATTGCACGGCGAACTCATGTGAGACTACGTCAATTTTATTGAAAACCAGGATGAACGGAAGTTTGGTTTTGTATAGGATACTAAACCGATCATTGTTCAGTCAATTATTGATCTGCAAATTGGAACAAATATTGAAGGATAGAATAGATACAGGGAGTCCTAATTTTACGGAAATGGGTAAATTTAAATTTACTAACCTACATGCATATAACATGTTGCTCATAAAGGTGCTAGGACTAGTTGTTCTCGGTGTATCTATGATATAAGCCACCGCGCATGGGTACGTTGCTGCTAACGCCTCGGTTATTATGGCTCCAGACGCCGACCACGTAAAGATCTCAATCTGACCAGGGGTATCTACGATGATATGCCTTACGGAAACGCATTGCCGGTAAGTTAGATCTCATGATGGACAAACAAGGTGAATAGATAATTCTTACTCAAGTGTCGGAGCACGCTTGGAAATGAATTCAAGAACTTGATCGAACTTTGTCGTAAAAAGGTTCAAGCTCGTCAAAATGCCACCGTTTGGGCCCAAATTATACCTAATTTAAACGCTAAAACATTCGGTCAAACGCCTTGGAATGAACCCGCCACTCGAAATTATAGTAATAATATTTACTGTTTCATGACCTCTTTGTAATTGATGGTATCTCGAATGTCAATGTTGGCGGTGAATGGCAGCTGCGATACGGCTGGATCAAGGTTTATCACGTAAGGTGGCTTCTTTATGCCATGAAGATGGGCGTTTAGCCGCTACGAGGAAAACCTTATTAGTATGGAGCCCATAAAATTGTTAATTGCTATTTTCACCGACTGCTACTTACCTGCATGAAAGTAGTTTTTCCCGAACCCGCCATTCCGATGCATATTAGAACGGCGGGTTGTTTTTGCGAGGTACCACTAGCCGATGCGCTTTCGGTCGCAGACATTTATCTTTGGCAAAAAACGTTCGATCCGAACGAATACATAATATTTATAGATTTTTGTGTGACACAAAAGGGTTCAGGTCATAGATTAGACGTCCAATAAAAAATAACCTCATCAATAAATTTTTTCTTCACATCTTTACTCTCCACATAAATATACAATGAGTAGTTTTTCCAGCGATTACAACCTACCTTCCTCCGGAAGCATGTAGATATTTTGAAAAAGTCATTTCCGTTCTTGAAGAGGGCATCTTAATGAATTGTACATCTCTACTTCAAACAGGGAAAATAGGAAACAAGCGGTAATGGACCAAGTCAGAAATGAGCTGGCACTCGCTAATGCGCAAGAGCTTATTAATGTACGCGATATATAGTTCAAGAGCGTTTTTTTCTCTTTTGATGGCATTTAAGGCATAGCATTCGTTTTATATTTATGGTCACTTTAATATACAGAACAATGTTAAACGGATGTTACAAAAATTTTTTAATCTTAATTCCTAAATATTTCGCGATTGAATCGGCCACTTGAAAAAAATAAACAAT